GATGATGATGATGATGATGATGATGATGATGATGATGATGATGATGATGATGACGATGCAGCGCCATCTTGAAGAATTTTTCGATACGAAACTTTGAGGCGTTTTCATAAGTACATTTCTTTTTAAAAAATCTATAGTATTGTCTGATCGAAAATTGCCCTACTCCAGCTTTCCTACAATGATGATGATGATGATGATGATGATGATGATGATGATGATGATGATGATGATGATGATGATGATTATGATGATGATGGTGATGATGCGTGCTCTTCTATCACCACAGGCGATAATGTTGAGCCATATTGGTCCCAATTTGTACTCTATAATGTGTACTATATTTAGAGTGCGTCTTACACCACCAGTTCGCAGATGAACTAATAGCATAATACTATGTTGTGTAAGTATTAGAAGGAGTAATTAGCTACTCATCTTATAATTACAGATGCTGTTCGGAGAGCTGGAAGAGAGCGGTCTTTTTATTTATATCTTGACCTTCAGATTCCCTGACTGAAAGATTACTCATTAACCCAACACGTGTGCTTATGCCTAGGCTACAATTCCCCTCTCTCACTTTCTTCCTCTTTCTTCCTCTTATTTTGTTCTTCTTCCCTCTCTCCTCTTTCTCTCACTTCTCTCTCTTTCTTATTCTAATGTTCTTCTTCTCTCTCCTTCCTCCCATGTATCTGTCACTTTCACTCCCTTCTTTCCTCTCTTTCTTCCCCCTCTCTCTTTTATATTTCCCTCCCACATTCTCTCCCTTTCTTTTTTTCTTTTTTCTTTCTTTCTTTCTTTCTTTCTTTCTTTCTTTCTTTCTTTCTTTCTTTCTTTTCTTTCTTTCTTTCTTTCTTTCCCTCTCTCGCTCTTTCCCTCTCTCTTTACTGTGATACTTGCATGCGTACACGAACTTGACATGTTTCTCCCTTTGTCTCCCACTGCATGCCTGTTTGACTATACAAGATTTGTTTGTGCCTCTGCCTGTGTCTCTTTCTCAAAGACATGACAACTCCAACTCGAACACACAAACAGAAACACACTCGATAAAACATCAATTATATCTATCTATCTATCTATCTATCTATCTATCTATCTATCTATCTATCTATCTATCTATCTATCTATCTATCTATCTATGTTCC